TGTTAAGTCAACACAATATTCCCCTTCCACCAAGTTGTTCCTCTGATTGTTCTCTTACCTCTTGTGCTCTGACTAGGACGTAGCATCTCCTCTGTTGATTCAACCACTGATTGTTGTGACAAGGAACAGAGGAAATCTAAGGTTTAATTTTGAAGAGAAATGTCTTAATGCACTGGAACTTGAAAGTTTCAAGCTAACATGTTGGCATTGCCATTTATTCCTCTGAGTATTGCATGGGGGGAGTGAGAACAGTAGGAATTCGCTAGTCGCCTAAGGAATTCCATCCAAGATCCTTTCCATGCTGAGATGAATCAAATTATTCCTGACTTCAGGCCAGCAAATCATCCAATTGTCATCCCTGTTCATAAGAATCTCATCCAAAGCTCCTACAAGCCAAGTGAACTAAAGTATATGAATGTCCTTCAGAGGATGCCTGAAGTATTGGTAAATTTGGGGTTTTGTCACAAATGAGACTTCTTTGAACCAGGGGCTGAAAATGTCAAAATGTCCTTAATTCCACCTTCCCTTCTTTTTCTTTTAAAGTGCTATTCAAAACCATTACAGAAATCTTTCAAAAGGCTTTGAAGAGAATCCTTTAACTGCGGTCACAAAGTGACTTCATTTTCTTTGAACTTTGACTTTTTAGGCTATCCACATCTGTAGATTGCTTTTAATACAGGAAATGTGCCAACAGTCAAACTAAGAAAAGAAAAGCAATAGAGAACAGGTGTGCTATAAAGTTTCATCTATTTTTTTCCATTTTGGTAGTCATATCTCAAGATGCCTCTCTTAGCAGAGCTCTTAGTAAAAACTGCACAAAGAAACCAAAGACTTCACCTTGGCAAAGCTTCCTTTATCATAAGCAGTACTCCAAGGCCATTTTTACAAAAAATGTCACAAGTTAAAAGTGAGGTATTCCACAATGGATATAATAATGCCTTACTATAGCCAAAAGCTGGTACAGAGACAAGGCCTTGGGCCACAAAGCATTAGATTTCACAGCATGTGTCTTAACATCTTTTTGAGACTTACCTTTGCTTCCTGCTGGGAATAGTGACCACATCTTCCTCCTTCTCCTGTTTTTCTCACTCTCCTTCACCATCTCTTCTGACACACTGGCAGGAAGGCCTTCTTCTGGATTAAAAACCTAGCAACCACATTGACCACAGCCTTGTGCTGCTGCTTTCCTGCTCCTTCTGAATCACACGTCTGGAAGGAGGTGTTTATTATATACATATATACAATTATATATTATTATATACCAGGTGGAGATCGGACACGGAATGGAAATTAGGCCTTACTTTGGATGGGTCTAAGGGCCAAATTCATTTTATATCATTTCACATTTAATTGAAGTGCTGAAGTGGCGACACCCAGGTTAGACTGTGATGGACCATATATGCAGAAATTGTGACATCCTGTGGCAAGGATGGGAAATGACATGCTACAATTACTAATTTTAAATTACTTTAATTTTGGCATTTCCTGCCATCAAAGCCTCGATAGTGCTTTTAATGCTATAACTTTTTTGCCTGTAACTTAGATGTCTTTAATAACTAGGGAAAAAGCTACCACGAAGCATCACATATACCCAGCATGGCAATAGTGCTGTCATTTGACAACTGCTGACAGAGAGCAGAAAACAACCATCTCCATAATTAAGCTTAAAGCCAGATGGATGAAATCTTTCCAGGGGTTTCACAAATCCTCGTGGACTGCAGTGGAAAATTTACATTCAAGAAACCCAGTTCCCTCTCAAGCTCTGGAGGACAGAAGGAAGACAGAGACCCATCATATGTTTAGCTCAACTTCTTTGCCTTCTTCCCCCCAGTCCTGCCTTTCCACATTGTTTCAGCTCCTCACCTAGGTCTCCCATTTTCTTGTCCAGACCACTTCAGTTCTGTTCTACTGGCTGCTCTCCCTCCTCCCCCTGCACACCACCTCACTCTCCTACTAATTTTGCTTTGCTCAGTCAGCCTAGTTTCTCCTCTAAAAACCACATTTTCACATCTGATCCATCTTCTCTTTGTCCAGCTACTTGTTCTGCTCTCAGCTACCCTCCTTGTCTAAATTTTCCACTTCCCTTTGTCTGATTTTTGCAGTTCAGACATATCAGCAAGTCTTCACAGTGTAACAAGTCCATCAACAGAGTAGCAGTAATTCATCTTGCAGCAAATTACACTATCTTATCTCAAGGTTAATGTGATGTAAAATGCATTTGGCTCAGCCTCTTTCACGGGCAGCTAAACTCATGCACTTTACCACAATTTTGCAGCATGCTAAGCAGGGGCTCAGAGTTAGTCCACTCAGTCACTGCACAGTAACTCACAAAGGTGCAGACAGTTGACTCATACATCTGAGCATCTGGTGTCCCCTCAGAGGTAAGCGGCTATAAAAAAAAATCATCAGATAGACAGCACCCCAGCTCAGCTACACAGTTTTGTTCTGGAAAAGCTGTTACTGAAAAAAAACCCCAAACCCCAACACAAAAAATCCAACCACACAAAAAAACCCCTACCAAAAATTATGCTCCGGCCTGCAGGTCTGTGGAAAAAGCCCATCAGTCAAGTTCTTTGAAAACTGTAGCTAAGAAACATGAGTATTTTTTTAATTGCTTACAGTTTAGTTGCCTTCAGCTCACTTTCACCAGAAGGCCAGGATGTGTCCTTGACGTGGACAGACAGACCTGCCAGTTAAGCTTTGAATCCCTTTTCCGAAGTGGTGGTCAGAGACAAGGTTGCCAGAGTTTACTCTCTGGGATCAAACATTTTCTCAGAGCCTCTCATGTTTTGGGATCTTTTTCTCTGGAAATGGCTGATCTGCATTTCAAAAAACCAAAAACAAACCCCAAAACAATTCAGACCAAACCTCACTGCTTCACCTCTACAGCACACACCAGCATGCCAGGAGCCCTGGCCAGGTTTCACTCCAGCTGTGGGTCCACAGCAATATGAAGACTTCAGGTAAAGAACAACACTTGTAAGGCTGTTCACTGTCCATATCTGTAATTCACAGACATAGCTCAGAAATGTTAGTTAAAAATAAGCCAACATTTCACTGCCCCCCATATCTAATCTGAGCAGGCTCCATGAACCTGAACCTTGAGCTTTTTAGCTCAGCCACATATACCTGTCACCTCCCATGAGTACTACTCTTCAGGCAGCTATGCAGTGACCTGAAAACTTTTACCTTTTATTTTCTGACAGGTTAGTTTTCAGCCACATCAGTCTCTTGAGATGGTTTCCCTCATAGCCTTTCAGCTGCCAAGACCAACAGATCAGAGGCAGTGGAGCCAGGCAGCTCATGGTGCATAAAGAAGGTGGCAACATCTTACATTTAGCCCAGTTTAATGCAGTTAAAATTAATAGTGGAACTGCACCTTTTTGATCTTCCACAACTCCAGAGAGTACTCATCTGTTAGGCTATGCTCTGGCATTTTGATGTAGTCTGTTAAGAACTCATGTAACTGTTCTGTTGTTCCTTCTCTACCTGGTTTCCATCTGGTTCCTTTCCTCATCAAAAAAACCAGAAGACCAGGACACCTGTATCCAGTCATCTCTGAAAACCTTGAAGTGAAAAAATGTGAGAGGGTGGAGCCAACAAAGAATCGTTTTTTGGCCAAAGTGCAGTTTACACACCTCATTACCTCAAGGCAGATGTCCAGCATGGAAAAATTTCAGCATGGAAATTACGGAGTTCTAATGAAATGAGATACAAAAAGGGAAAACTGAACTTGATCATGAGAAAAGATGGGAAACTCTATTAAAAAGTGACTTTTGCCGTCAATATTTATAACATAATTAGAATAATGTATCACATTGTAAAGCTGTTTATTAAAATGAGGGCACTTACAGCCTGCTGGGTATCTTTAGAGAGTGGATCAATCTCACTGCAGAAAATAGTGTCTTACAGATGTCAGTCAGCAACAAAGCTGTGACAGCATTTCTTAGTTCAGACCCACATGTGAATCTTCAACTGACCCATTTTGATCAGCTACTTTAAGAAAGAAGTTGTTGCTTCAAACAAGTGACAGGCCTTTATGAATGTAAACCAGCATTCCAAGTTGAATCGAATGTCTACGTGTAAAGTAGCAGAGCCAAGGAATTTGGAATCACAGTCCTAACGTTGCTCTCCTGTGATGGTGCACTGAGGGGCCAAAATTTTATGTCAGACATGGCAAGTGGTGAATAATTCTTTGGTACAGAGCTTTATACATAAAATAACTAATCTGGGGGAACTGCTTCAAGATTATAGGCAGAGGAGAGGGTCTATTTGTAATTCAGCTGCTTTTTACATCCTACTCTGAAAGTCTCAGCAGCGTTGCCTCCAAATCTTAGGCTGACAAAAGCATTCCCATGTAACAGCGTGAAGAAGCTTCCAGCTTTGTTCCTCTTCGAAGATGATGGGTGCTTCCTTGCAAAAATGACGTTTTTCAAAGCATAACGTTTATTTGTGACACTTGTGCGGGTCTCTCCAGATGCTTTACAAATGCCAGAGTAGCTGCAGCCCCTCCGGGCAATAGACACCAAGCCTATTTTCACTGCTTTATGGCAGCACAAGTCCTAAGCGGTAACAAGCAAAGCCAGGAATAAGAATATCCAGGCTTGAATCCAGTCCCTGGCTGTAATTGCTAAACCAGCTTTCTTAATCACTAAGTGAGGGCCCAGGGGAACCGGAGAGCATCACATAAAACAACTTGAGGAAGAGCTGTCGAAAAGTAAAACTCCCCAGGCCCTGCCCCCCCCCCCAATCCATCATTCCCTGCCCTCCTCGGACACCCATGGGAGAGAGCCGCCACCAGCGGGGAAGGGAGCGACGCCGGCCCCGGGGCTGCCCCAGAG